GCCGAGTAGAGGGGGATAATCATTTTCCCCAAGCTACTGGCTGTGCTGCTCTTATTACAGTCCAAGATACTGTTGTCCTTCTTTGCTGCCATAGCCTACTACCAGCTCACGTTCAGTTTGCTGTCTAGCAAGACTCTCCCATTGTTTTTAGCAGAACTGTTTCCCCAGCCAGTGAGTTCCCAGCCTTTGTATGTTCAATTTGGCTTACGCTACATCATATACCTTCTAGAGAAACAGCCAGTCTTTAAGTTAGCACTGCCAAGAGTCACTCTGTTAAAGTATGTATCTTTTTTCTGGTTTGATATGGTAAGCATCAACATCAGCTAGTGAATCCCAGTGGAAGTTCCAGAGCCGACACACAGATACAGTAATTCAGTAAATATAGGAGATAAATGATGCAATCGTAGGCTGGACTGATTGATCTAATACTAGCAGCTTTGGACTGCATTCCCCTTTCATTGGTGGACACAACACTAAACAGAATCAGCGCAGCCAAGACACACACAAAATGGCATTAGTTATGGCTACAGTATGTTCTGTATCAATTCTTTTCAGTTTTTTTTTTTTTCAATTCTGCCTCTATCAGGTTATGTGCTAAAGAATGAACCTTGCCATACAGGAGGAAACATTGCTTGAGGTAGGCATGTATCTTTTAAATGTGCTCCCTCCACAAGCACATTCAAGCCTTGGTGTATACTTATCTGGAATGCAAGATCTGCACTTTCAAAATGTATCCTGATTTTGTATCCTGCATTGGATTGGTATACAGTGGGTTTGCAGCTGGACTGTCTGACTGGACCTAATCTATGGACGCAAATCAGACAGATTCTCAGTATCATGCAGAGAAAACAAATTTAATTGAGCTGGTACTTTGAAAACTGTTCACTCTCTCCCCTTACTCTCCTCTCTAGGTTTCTGAGTCTTTACTGTAAAAAAAACCCAACAATGCTCTATAAAAACTGCAACACTGTCACATTTAATTCTTTAAAAGGCAAATTTGCTGGAAAGACTTTGGATAAAATTTCCAATGATGGGAAACATGACAGAAGACAGAATGTTGCCTGAAACCATGGGTTAATAAAATATACTACTGGTCAAATGGAGAAATTGTTCTTGTCTTTGGTCCTACGGTAAGATAAGATGAAAAGAAGAACATATTTGCATGAGGGTTGTGTAGCTTAACAGAAATTTACCTGCAGGCTGTTCAGGATATTTTTTTATCAACAAATGTCACAACAAAACTCTGAAATATCTTCCTCTTTCTTCAATTATGGCATTTTTAAAATTATAGCTGAAATTTGGAAGAGTTAACTTTTACCTTATAAGGTAAAAGGTACTATTATACTTATAAGGTATAAGGTATAAGGTACTATTACCTGTATTATCCCACTTTACATTAGGAGGTCTCCCTCTAATTCTGACTGGTTTGTGTTTAAAAAAATGTTGACATCTCAATCTTGATAGCTAATCTTCTGCCATCACCATGCTATCTAACTGTTTGGGGACCGTCCTCCTTTGATAATACCACCAAAGAGCAAGTAGCCACCTACCTGAGCTGTTGCTGTGATGCTACATAAATTGTGATTTATTTGCAAAGGTTCAACCTCCCAATCTATTCAGGGTGATTCGTTCTGCATCCACCCCCAATACATTCAGCCACATTATTTTAGCTCAGTTACATTCAGAGTGAACTGAGAGTAATCACTTAATTCCTTTATGGAACAAATGCAGGAATCTTGGCATATCTCCTTTTAAAAGACCTAGAGTGAAATGTCTGTCATTTGCATGGCTATAGTTTTAACCTGTGTTTTAAGGATGATGCCACCTCTGTTAATAATTGTTCTTCGCTATAAACTTTGTATGCTGGAACAAATTTAATTTAATAGAAGACTCACTGAATAGCAAATGTGCATGGTTCCCAAAAGTGTGCTAAAATGATTTATCCAAGTCTAAGGTACTTTCATGAAGTTGATTCCTTTACTAACAGTTCTATTCTGCACTACAGGTGTAGCCCTACCATCAAGTAAAGCAAATACCTGACAGATTTTGGAAAGCACAGGCTGCCTCAAACAGTTCTTGGAGCTCACTGCAAACCAATCTGGACATTTTGGGGCAAGAACAGAGCAAGAGGGCTAGAGCACTTAAGTGTCTCTTGAAAGAATAACTTTATTTGTAAAAGGCAGAAGGAGACTGAAAGGTTGGACATCACTCCTAGTCATAGGAACACAACAACCCTTTTCTGCCATGTGTCCACATTGAATTTACTGTCCAGCCTGGCAGTGTGCCCTGAAATCCAGTCAATATTGTGATGACCTAAATCAAATTTCCCATGGACATTTCTGTAAATTTTTCACCTACTAAAAATCACATTAGGGAAGGTAAGCAATGTAGTAACTAGAAAATCACAGGTCTGTGCCTAATGTTGTAGTCTCATCAGTTAATCTTCCATATATTGCATCATGGTGGTGCTTTAATATAGGTCTAATACTTTTTATCTATTTTTGTGTTGGTAGGTTTGTTTAACACTTATAAAGTACTTTAAGATTTCGAGAAGGAAAGAACTAAAGAAAAACATCTTTAATTCTTCTCTTCTAGAAGTGTAAAAAGGTAAGGCTACCTTTGAGTCTGCAGTACAGTAGCACACAAGATCAGTGCACACAACCAACAGAGTATGGAGGAGTTTCACTGAGCTGGCTTGAGTGCTGACTCACTTCTGAGGAGTGAAGTGGCGCTTAGCACCTGAAGTTTAGGGTTAAGAGCTTAAAAAAAAAAAAAGCTAGCTAGTCCTCTACATTTAAACTTTTGTTCCCAAGGAAAAAAGAGCCTGATCTTTAGAAGGTACTGAGTTTATAGAAGTCTCCACTGATTTTAAAAAGGGACCTACAGAAAGCTCAGCAATTTTGAGACAGTAAGAACAGTTTAACCATCAGATAAGGATATGGGTACCTATTTACCCTCTAATTTCTGAAAATCTTGACCTAGATTTCTCCAAGTACAAAACCATCTTGTTTAGATGTTAATTCTGAGTAGAATTCCAGTTTATGTACATCATTTAATCAATTGAACCATTAGAAGGTGCCGTAAGTGAACTAATTACATAAACTTATTGCAGCAACTTGTACCTTTGCTTTCCCTATTCCCATGTTACCATTACTTCATGTAGCCTTCCTAAAAGCACACTGCAATCTCTTCAGAGCAGAAACTTATTTCTTAATGAGAACTGTAAAAATATATTGAGTGCTACAGAACTGACAAAATAATGAAATAACATGACTTTTTTTCGCAATTAGTTGCAATAATGTAAAAATTGCCCTATCCAACAGCAACCTGATACCTTAGCAAGATATATTAGCAATTTAACCAGTCCTTTTCAGCTTGACAGTTCTAAATCTCACAGAGGCACCAGGGTTATGCAGCTACTTCTGCCATATAACACTGACATCCAAGTTGATGGGTGCTTGATTTGTAAGCCTTTTTCTAAAAAGACAGAAACAAATAAAGTTGCATGCAACTAAGTATGTTCTGATCAACTCACTCAGTACTACTTTTTTTTTTTCCCAAAATGATCATTATAGTCAAGAGGAAAGGAGAAGAAAGATAAGGAAGTGAATGTTACTCTGAGTCCATCATAAGACTTAATAAGCACTCCCAACATAATCATCTTAGGACTTGAGACCTATTTACACTGATCATAGCATATATATATTCAGATCTCAAAATACAGACACAAAAGTCTAACACTGAGAGCAAATTCAGGATATTGACGGAAGTTCCCAGGTTCTATAAGCATCTCATACCTCCTTATCCACTGACCAGTTTGGCCCTTTAGTGCAAGAAGCAGTATATATCATATCTCATCAGCATCACCTTCACTACAAACTTGCTTATCTCAACTCTGTGAACTCAGGTTCTTATTCATTTTTCTGCCAAGTCCTCCCTGGATTTTAAATCAGGATGCACCTCCTCTAGCCTCTCCCTTGATTTCACACCACTGTCCTCCCCTTTCTGTTCTATCTTTCTGGCTTTCTCCACTCACTAATGTTCCAATATGACACAGGTTTTACTCATGTATTATGGTAAATAATACAGGCCCAGATGCCTCATGCAGGGACATGTGCAAATACGGAATTAGTGTATTCCAGATGGGTACAACTGCCTGTTTCACCTGCAGGAGCCAGTGTCTGGACACTGTGCCATCCGCTCTTCTGTGCCCTGAAAGCAATGAATGAGTTAAAATGAACAATGAATAATTTTACACAGAAACCACCAGGAATGCGTATTCCTACTGGTTTGTCTTTTTGGCTACATTTGCCTTTTGAGAATACCAGTTGGGAAAATTGTTTAGAACTCAGGCACAGGGAACAATAAAACTGCTCAGTTTGTGTGTAGATGGAACATGTTACAGCTGCGTCAAGGAAAAGCTGGGTAGTTCAGCACAACAGAAACTTAGGAGGATTCCGGAGCTGAGATCTAGTAGATATTTGGAATATAAAGGAAGTTCAATCCCTGAGTAAACAGACAACTTCAAGGATCAAGGGGCTGCTGCTTCATAGCTATCACTTCTTAGAAAGAGAAACACCAGCCTTTCCGATAACTACTTTGCATTATTACCTCACTGCTGTAAAAATCCTTCCAAAAGACAAAGTGAGACCTAGTAGCATTATAACTGTAACTGGAATAATTCAAAGATTCAGAGAAACAGAGTAGAAAATCTTTACTTAATTAAATATTTAAAGAAAAAACAACAACAAATATATCCAACACTATTCCTCCTGTAAATGCCACCCAGTTTGCTTTTTCTGCCTCTCTCTGTCCCCAAAGAGCAAAAACCTACCCTACAATGCCTTCTGAAGGCTGTCTGCCTGCTATCCTCTCTGCCCACCTACCGTAGGGAGCAGCTCCTCCCACCTGCACATAAAAGCCAAGTGCATGCTACCAGCAGCAGATCAGAGCACTTTCTCAGTCCTCCACTGTTCTGAGCCAGTGATCTTCTCTCCTTGGATCTTGTATACTCAAGGTAAGCTTACTGCTACTTCAGGTTTCTGTTCTAACCAGCTATTGTGAGGAAGTCTTAATGTGAACTCTAGCACTGCCTTGCTGGGTGGTGCTGGCTTCCCCCCCCCCCTTTTTTTTTTTCGGATGTAGTGTCATCTGACATTTAAGTTAGTAACAGTCTGTTGTTCTAGCAATGAAATAACAACAGATCTTGCTGGGAAACAGTGTGTGGCTGGGAAAAGTTCTTCTCTCCCTTTCTGATTTATTTTGAAGAGATTAGTGTATACCCAGACCAATTCTAACAATTTATTATCCCTCTTAGTAGTCTCCCTCTCAGTCCAAAGTTATCAAAAAAACTACACTCTAAAGCTTCCTTAAATTCTGGTTGAGGAAAAAAAAAAACCAAACAGCTTAGTGGTAATTTAAGGAAGGAATTGTTTTTTATTACTGTTATTATTATTGACTAGCCAGATTGAGCCGATCTTGGGACTGAAGTACATCTTCACAGGATTCACTGCCTTTAAAAAAAGTGTGATGGAACTTAAGCCCTCACAGAAGCACAGTAATAATGCTGATGGAATTCACTATCTGGTACCAAATATGCTTAAAATACACATTTCACAAGCAAAGTTCTGTTTCTTGGAACAACAGACCTTGTGTGTCTATGAAATTTCTAGATCAGCTTTGTATTATATTTTATCTACAGTTTGCCTACATAGGCATTTCTAATACTAGAGGAAGGAATAGTTAAGTGCTTCGGAGACAGCTACTGAACAGTTGAAACATGAAAAAGTGGTTTGAAAACTATATCTGCACTCCCTTCTATTCATCTATCCATCCTCACAGAGATGAATCTGTTAGTGACTAGTACCAGTTTCTCATGTTGTGCAAGTCAGTGCACTTCCAACACAAAGTCACCTGTTTGAAGAAATTCCATCATAGAAATCCTAATCCTAGAATGCCTCTCTCCACTGCTTAGAGAGGAGGGAAAGCATGAACTACCAAAAGCAAGCAGTGAATGCTGTCTGTAAATTTTTTGCTTCTACTCTATGTAATACATCCTGCAGTTAGAGAGTGATATTTTCTTCTTGATAGCCAAACAGTTCTCTAAATTGACTCTTTTTTGTTCCTTCCCCAAATAAAGTCTTTTCTAAAAAAGAATTATGTCCACATATAGCTGTACTCACATTAGTTGAAACATTTTAAGCTATAGTACTGTATAACAACTGCAGAACTCTGCTCAAAGTGCCCTTTCCTGCATACTGTATCTAAGATTTTTTTCTGTATTTTATATGTTATCTATCGTAACTAATGGGGAAAAGAAAACACTGCCTTCAGCTATTTGCCTGGAAGATTACATAAGTATCTTTAAAAAAAACCCAAAAACCAAACAAAAACCCCCAAAACAAACAAATGGAAGTATTCAAAAACAAAGTACAGTGCTTTCTATAGCAGGCTTACAGTAGAACTATTTTTGCATCCAGGTAATCCATATAAATTGCCCATAGAAGACAGGAATAGAGCCCAATGGTTTTCATCATAACTGGCATTCTCTCTCTGAGCTACAAAATTTTATTCCTTAGTTAACATCAGATTTTTATAGCAAACCTCCCTTCCCTCTCCAAAAACACCCCTCTTGTAAAACACAGATATGTGATTTTAAGTGTAATGCATACAGAATTTAGGTCTACAATCTGGCAGTAAAGCCTCACTATTCACACAGAATTTTACTCTATCAGATAAATCAAAATTTCTAACAGAACAATTTTCAAGAAAAAAAAAATTTTAAGTGCATTTGCCACAGGAAATTTGTACACAGTAAAATACCTTTTATTAAAGCCTGCTGTGAAATGCAATGTTTTGGCATTTGAAAAATGGATTGCAGGACATATTAAGAAAACTCTATTCAAAGGAATGCGTCTAATTTAGATCAGAATCTCCTCTGAGCAATTTCTCTCTTAGGCTGAGTAGGTAATTCAGCTTAGCATCACTTTGCAGCAGGGGATGAAGGGAAACTGCACCCAGCAGGTCTCCAAGAGAACTTAGATGTCTAGGAATGCATTTATTGACTTCTGTGCTGATCTGAAACTCCTTTTTATAAGATCAAAGCATACTAATATTAAGATAAAAATACTGTCATTTTAAAATAGCGCTACAACCACAATTAAAAAAAAAGTGAATCAGTGGGAGAACGACGAATTCAGATTTTTTGAGTAATGACCATAACATTTTAAAATAACAGAATAAAGGTGAAGAGACTATAGTAATTTTTCAGCCACAGACCAGTTAAGTGTTAAGCAGGCATGCTCAGCTATTTCTCCTGGTGGTTGTGCTAAGGTTTTTTAGGTGTTCATTTAGGGCACTAATGCCCACTTAAGCCACTAGTGTAATTCCCACTGCTGTCAAAAGTGTTACACTAGATACAGATACACTAGAAACACAGGATAAACATATCACTGTCTGCTTATTTATGCATAGGCCTGCAGCTATGACTGCTTGTGAGACATTCTGATCTTCATGAATTTATTTTCACCCACCTCTCTGAGAGGCAGAGATATGTTTTCCTCTGGCCATGCTGATACTAAATACATGGACTGTTTTGCTTACAGTCCCAGTGAAAATTCATGGTAGAGTCAGATTTAGCTCTCCTGGGTTCCAGTACAGCACTTTAATCCCATTCTTCATTTTGTACTCAGCCTTATGAATTCCACCCCTTTGCAGCTGATCTGTCTTTGCATGACTCTTTTGGGCTGAACAGCAGGGAGAATTCCAGTGACAAACCTTGAGAGAGGTAATTTACTCCTAACACTTTTGAACTTCCTGTGAAACCCTTTACAAATCCCTTTACGGGATTTGCAAATCATTCTTGGAGGGGGTAAATAAATAAATAAATAACCAAAAGACCACCTCTTTCTTACCCTCTGTGGCTAGAGACCAACCCACTCTTGGCAGGATGAACAAGCCGAGATCCACTGCCATGGACCAAAAATGATGGGCAACATCTAACTATAAGAAGTCAGTCTTGGTAACTCAGTAGCAGTAAAGAGCTCAAAGAGAAGCACATGGTACTTAAGCAAAATTATTCACCTGGATCTTGTATGGCATGTAGAATATATTCTTCCTTTCTTTTCTACATTTGCTATCATGTGCCACCTCTATAAACGTATAGGATATAATTTCACATCCATTAAAACAAACAAATGAACAACCCCCCCCCCCCCCAACCCCACCAGCTTTGCCCTATCCCTTTAGTTTTTAACCCTAGAGCTAATTTACGAGGGTACAGACTCCTAATTGCTCCTGTGGCCTTGCAAATACTGCATTTAAAAAAAAAAGAAAAATTAGCACATTCCAACACTTGATTTCTAGAGTAATTGCCCTAGCAATGGAGGCCTTGTCTCTTATTCTTTTAAATTGAAAATTACCACTAAGCATGCATTGCTTGTAGATAAAATAGTGAATGTGTGAGAGGTAACTGGAGGAGTAGCAGGAGTGATAAGGACTAGAAAAAGAACCATTACTGGTCATGTCACCACCTGCCGTAGAAGGTAGGACAATTTTCATACATCCATAGGCACATTTACAAGGCAGAATTTTCTGCCCACTTACTCTGTCTTGCTATATATCTCAGGGGAGAAAAGATTAAGTTTTATCCCTGAAGCTTAAATATATCCCTATATTTTCCATTACTTTTTTGGCCTTCCAATTATTCTAAGCCCTGGGTTCTTTCCTTCTACAAGGAGATAATTTTCACTAATGTCATATTTCTAAAAGAGCAGTGGTTCAATGGAGTTATTGTAGTGAGGCACAAGAAAAGACAAAAACATTAGATGTGGCTTGTTCTGTCTGATTAAAAACAACAAATATCTGTATTTAACTGTATAAAAGTTTCTTACTTTTGCCACTTACACCTTCTAGAGTTTTGTTTAAGTGATGTTGCCTTTTTTGTGGCTTTCCCTCCAGAAAGTGAGATCTATTCTTTTGTGCTAACGTAATTCTCCTTCAGCAAAAGTTGTGGAGTTATGTGTGTTTAAAAAGATAATGAAGAGTCCTGGTTCTGAAGCCTTTTGTGGGTCTTGTGCAATAACTGTGCCTATTCTCTGTACACATCAGTAAACAATTGTGCTTGGTCTCCCTGTACTCCTGAAATGTTGGATGTGTTTCTGTAATTGTCTTGATGTGTAATGAATTTAATGTCTCATAATTGCACTCCAGGGGATTAATACCACTATGCAGTCTAGGGACATCTTTTGATGATTAAAACTTCCTCATGCAAGTCCATATTTTATAGCAAAAGCAAGATGAATGTAAGTCTGTTGCTTCTTGAATGGCAGGTGAAACTGTTGAGGGGTTTTCAAAAGGGAGTGAGAATCAGTGCCCTCTCTTGGTTAGAAAAAAATATATAAAGCAGCCCTATGAGAGCGTTTATCAGTTCCCTCTGCTGGCTACAAAGCCCACAGCCAGATGAGCAGCTGTGTTTGCGGAGGCGAAGGTCTTAAGTTCTATTCCCAGTGCTGTGTGCATGCGGTAAACTGATGACTGTGGTGTCTGTGCACGTATGTGGACATCATTCTTTATAGGGTCTCATCAACAACTACACTGAGTTCAACATGAGGGCACTCAAAAATAATATGGAGTTCCTGGGAGGTAAGACACTTTCCACTTAAGATTTGAGAAGCATGCTAGCAGCTATGCCTTTCATAATACTACGCAGCTAGAGCATCCTTCTGTCATGCATCATATGCACACCTTGCTTGTTCCACCTCTTCAAGAAAAGTGTGTGTGTGTGTGTTCATTACACTCAGTTTAGAGACATCTGGCCAGTTATCGCAAATATTCTTGGCAATCCCAAATTGTAACACTTCAGAACGTCAGCTTCTGAGAACTCCACATTTGCAAAAAAAGAAATAAATGGTACCAACGAGAACGCTCCAACCTAAAAAAAACCCCACAAATCAAAACAAAACTGAGTAAGAACCTAACTAGTTCTTTTCCATTCTTGTAGTGAAAGGCCTGTATAAT